TTTTTAATTTAAAATTTTAAGTTTTTAACTATTAAGTCATCATCTTGAAATTATAATTGTAGTTTGTATTAGTGTAAAATATATATATATATATATAATATTGCTTTAAAATTTGAAAATTGAAAGTGCATTTTTGTGATTGGAAGAAGAAGCTGTATTGCAATCAGATGATAATACAGATTTTGATAGATAAATATGCGGAATTTACAGAATTTTTTCTTGTACCGTATGTTTTATTCATTAATTTCCTTTCTTGTATATATAGATGTAGGTTTGTGATGAAATTAAGCAAAGGTTGTTTGACAATTAGGGGCACTTGTGGCGGCCGCCGTGGGTGGTCATGTCGCGGTAGCATGGACAGACATCATAGTTGCCGGAAGTGCCTGGAGGAACGCAGTTGCATCGAGCACAACATGTTCCACACGCCCTCTTGCACAGATTTGGCCTCGATGATAACTGGCACCTAACATCACAAGCTTGGCCACAATCAATATCCGTAGATGATAAATCAGAACTCCCATCCTCCACCATATTTGACAAATACTGAAAGCTAGCTTGGGGACCTGAACTGGTTTCCACTGGATCGGACTCGACGAAGTGGAAGATGAGAAGGGAAATGAAGAGTGAAGCTAAAAGGGTATTGGACATGGGTATGGGTGGCATTGCTGGAAGAAATAAAGAGTTTGCAACAGGGGCTATTTAATTTCTCTGATGCGGTTGTGGGTACGGGAGGGACACAGGCTGATCCTGATGTTTATATAGCAAAGAACAGTGGAAAAGGAGGAGAGGGGGTAATAAATGTGGTGCGTTCATTCTAACAAAATTAAAGCAAAGGGAGGGTAGGTTTCGTGTTTAATTAACATGCACGTCAAGATACGAGGTGTACAAGGTAGACATGGCAGGTGCTCTGTTCTGTTTGGTTCCTATCTGGATCAATACTAGGCGATTTATGAGCTTAATTTACGATTCACATCTTTTCAGCCTACCAGATCGATGCATTTTGCATTTATCTCGTTGCTCCTTAAAGCAACCGTCAGCTCATCACCTGAAAGGTGCTCATTCCTTTGAATATGCACTTCTAAGCCCATAGTTAATGGGCCTTGAAAAACAAAGTTAAAAAGTGTAGAGAATAACCCAAAAGCTCCATTTTTGGAGCATAATGGGCCTAAATTAGAAAGGTAGAAACCCAGAAATTGGAGACTAGTTTGCTATGGGCTGAGAGCCCATGATACTTTTTAAAATATTTTACCTTTTTTTTTCCTGATATCCAATAAGACTATAAGAGGTTGTGAAAAAATAAGTTATATAAATTTTTTATTTTTTTATTTAATTTAATGAAGATGTGTTTATCCACGTGGCAGATAAGGGATGTGACACCACGAACAAATGAAATGGAAAGTGTAAACCACGGGACAAAGAAAGTGTCAGGCCGGATAAAATTGCAAAAATGAAAAAAATTCGTGAAATTGCTGAATTCCTGAAAAATGGTTGCTCTGTCACGAGAACGGGAATTGTGTGTGAATTGGCGTTTTCTTATTTTAAAGGGAGAATCGGCGATTATTTGAGGGGAGATGTGATGATTCGATACTCTGTAGCCTCGGCATGGTACAGGCGACAGACTCATGTGTGGTGCGTGACTCGTAGATCTTTAATCTTGTTTCCAGGTGAGCTCAGTAAATTTACCGCTGCACCCTTTAATTCGGAAATTTTGAGACATTAATATAACAAGATTTTTCCTTGTTATTATTATTATACAGGTATTTTTTTTATTATGAATTAATTTATATCATAAAATATAAAAATTAATTTTAATTTTAATTTTTAAATAAAAATATTAATTATAATATTATTATGTGAGTAAATTTAATTAA